ATAGAAAAGGGAGGGCCACTTAAGAAGTCATTCTAGGACTGTGGATTATTTTTTGGCATTATCCCAAAGCTTGGCAAGTGTTAGTTCCTTCCAATTTATTAGTAATGCAAAATATGAAACCTAAGCAATAAAGTTTCCTTCTGTGTTCTATTAAAATCTGAGGGTCTCTTTCAGTCTTGACTGAAGATTAACTCATGCATGCATGGTCTTATAGCATTGTGTATTGGTCATTTGTACAGCAGTGGTTCATTGCAGTTATCACATCATCGGAATGTAGGCAAATGTCTTCTTCAGTATAAGAGAATCACTTGTTAATATCACTATCTCTAGCATCAGAAGAGTTTTAACATTCATTATATATATATATATACATACATTCATATATGCATTTGCATTGTGCATTCAAGTTGGCATGTCCTTGCCATAGTGCACAGGTGGAGGTCAGAGAACAACTTGCTGGAGTCTGTTCTCGTCTTCCAGTATGTGGGTTCTGGGGATTGAACTCTGATTATTAGGCTTGACATCAAGAACATTTACTTGTTAGTGTAAAACAAACAAATAAACAAAGGCTTTGTTTTGTTTAGTTTATTTTTCATAAAGTTCACTGTGGTGCCAGGGATCAAGCCCAGTGTCTTCCCTCCTAGCTACATTTCCAGTTTTCAGAAAAGCTTTTGAATATTGGAAAGCTTTTGGGTTCATGTTGACAAATTCTTACTTTTCACTTGAAAATTGTTTTTCTTGAAGTAATAGCACTTTGTTAATTTTATGTGGAAAATATCTGTTAAATAACTAACACTGGATAAGCTTAATTTGCCCATCATCTTCCAAACAATAATGGCATTCTGTGTGGGGGAAAAAAACCAACTAATTGACTCATAACTCAGTCCCGTAAGTGCTTTTACAAAATCAAGATGATGACCATGCTTTTTGTCTGAAATAGTAATTCTTTATAGGTACTTATCCTTCATCACAGAATATTCTAAATGTATGTTCTAGAATTAATATACAGGGCAGATATTTACTATCTCAAATAACATTAATCCAGACATTCTATTTTCAAGATTTATTCATTATTTTTATTTTCTATATGGGATTGTTTTACCTGTGTGTATGTCTGTGTACGTGTATCTCCAGTGCTCTTGGAGGTCAGAAGAGGGTACCAGATCTCCTGGAACTAAAGTTATAGAGGATTATAAATCACCATGTGGGTGTTGGAAACTGAACTGAGTTTTCTGCAAGGATAGCAAGGGCTCTTAACTGCTGAGCCATCTCTCCAGCCCCAATCAGAGACTTTCTTAGGTGAAATTGTCATTTATTTAGTCTATAGTAGTAAAGCAGTAAAATACAGCATCTGCCAGTTTACCCCTGCCTCGATTCTCATAGGGTGTTAGCAGTTTCATTCACAGTCCCTTGACACTATCATTGCCAGTGTCAACTGTGTGAGGAAGGCAAATGGAGTTTCTCAATTACCATAAAAAGAGTTTTGACCTTGCCCATCCTCCCTGAATGGGTCTTGAACACTTTTAGAATTTCATGTGTCATACAAAAGTTCTGATTTCCTAACTGCTTCAGATAATCAAGCAGATGGATGTCTTGTGGTACTCATTCCGCTAGTCCTTATTTTCCTTCCAGATTTTAAGTAATAGCAGGGACTAGTAGCTTTTCACATAGTCTGCACAGTGCATAGTTAAAACAGAGAATCAATAAATGACTTGTCCATTTTTCCATTCATTTGTAATGATCTCACTTCTAAAAATAAAATAATCTTTAAATAATGTTTAGAAGAAAAACAATACAAGAAAAGCAGCTTATTCCCAGAGAGAGTAAAATATTTTTTATGTTTTGTCTTTTCCCCCTTCTTTAATATTCAAAACAAAACTTACTGATTGTTGAATGACTGTAATCTTGGTGCTCAGGAAGCAGAGGCAGAGGCAGAGGCAGGAGGATTACAAGTTCAAGGCTGTATATACCAAAATCATATCCCAAAAGATGTAGTTCAGTGAAAGAATACTTGCTGGTGTGTGCAAGGTTTTAGGTTTGATCCTTATCACCACAAACAAAACAAAAAGCAAAACAACAAAAAAGCTATCTTGTTGATGTAGATTTTTACCTGTTGTTTAATGGAAGGCTTACTGAGATGGGGAAGTCTTCCTCTGGTGCCCAGGCTGCCTTGAACTCCTGAACTCAAGTGATCTGCAGTCTCCCAAGTAGGTGGGACTGCAGGCACACACTACCTCACCCAGTTTATTCATCATTTACAGACACTAGTAATGTTGATCATTACCTGCTTTGGGAGAAGAAAACATAGTTTTGAGACACTGACAATAAAATACTGTTGCATATAATCAGCTGTCAACATAAAGTCACTCAGTTTAATCAGAGGCAGCTTTAATGATTCCGACAACTCTTTGTGTTACTTTGTTTCCACAGTACGAGGGGCTGATTCAAACAACTTTCTCTATTACTTTGTTTCCACAGTACGAGGGGCTTTGGAGTTAAGTGCTGAGGGCTTAAGGAGCTTGAATTTGTGACGGCATGTTAAGCACGTAGCAAATGGTATTCATTTTGGAATCAATTGAGTTTCTGTTTTTGTTTTTAAGGCATATTTCTCATTTTATGCATAAAGTTCCCTTTCCATCTCCTCAGAGGCCACGGATTTTAGTTCAGGTAAGTTTCTTTTAATATGAAGGCCATATGAATTATTAGTAGCTCCGTCAGTGTGTAACATAAGTATAGCAACTTCATTGTGGGGGAAGTAGAATGAGCTCTGGAGAAAACCAGATGTTTGTCCATGTTGGAATCCAGGCTCTAATATTTTATGAACTCCATCCACAGAAGAGGACTGTGGACACATGTAATCCCAACACTTGGGATGTAGAGGCAGGAGAGTTGAGAAGTTAATTTCAGCCTGGGCTACAGTCACTTCTAGGCCAGCCTTGTTTAAACAGTGGGTCTGTCTAAAAAAAAAAAAAAAAAAAGAAGTATACAGGTTATGAACACACACACACATTGTTTCTAAATATTTGAAAGTTTGTGCCATTGACGATCATATAGTTGGTTAAATGTATTAGAATAGTTATCGGGTATAGTTGTATGTTTATATATTGCAGGAGGGAGGAGATGCCTGCGCCATGGATGCGACAGGGAAGTTTAAATGACTATAAATGTTTTCACAGTTGAAAACATCTCTGCTCTTGATATCTTGTCTGAAGTCTTGATAATTTAAATTGCCTGTTTATTTAATCTATGAAATGTTTCATACAAAGGAAATATTTTCATGTGTTGATATCACATGCGTTGCTGGTTATTACAGCCCTGGAGGTGGAATTATTAGTATTGGAAATCACTTAGCAGATAAGATATTTACTGATTGATAGAAATGTACATATATTTGAAAATGCAGATGAAATTAGTTGCATTACTATATTGATACAGATAAAATTTCTAGAGCATACTTTTTGATGGTGTTGACAGTTGGTCTGCACGGCTGTTCATTACTTCATGACACTGGGTGCCAGAGTGCTAATCTAGCACACACATGTGGAACTGTTTTATAGTAGAAGCTGGCATATGTTCCCTGTATAGATATTATCTAAATATTAATCTTTGCAGGTTATCCAGTCCTCTGTTGCGGGGCTCTGATCTGCTGTTGCAGCACAAAATCAGCCAGAGGGTGTGTGTGTGGTGGGGGGAAATCTCACGGCTATATTCCATTAAGACTGCTTACAAAGCAGAGAGCCCATGGATTGGTCACAGGCCATAAGTTTACTGACCCTAAATGTATGGTATTGAGTAAATGTAACCTGTTAACATAAGTTTATTCAAATAGAATTGGGGAAAAGTTGAAGACATAAGAGATAGGATTCAGAGTAAGAAGTTGGAAGGAGCCAGAGGTCAAGACATGCTTTAGAGAATCCAAAAGCATTAACTGCTCTTAGGCTGGTGATCTGGGGAACTTCCTGGGTGCCCTCATTAGTCCATGTCCATTACGAGCGCATGGTGCATCCGAGCTCATCCTTATATTTGCTTTGTTTTAAATCTTCCAGTTATCCCCACACGATAATCTGATTCTCAGTCAGCCTGTTTCTTCACCTCTTCCATTAAGGCAAGTAAAGCTTCAGTTCTATTTGTTTCTTTACATCTGTGTGTACACAGTCCCACATCCATGCATCTGCCAACAGAGTCTAGAAGAGGGTGCTGGGTTTCTTGGAAGTGAGTTACAGGTTGTGAGCTTCCCAACATGGGTTTTGGAACTGAACTCAGATCCTCCGGAAGAGCAATGGGCATTCTTAGCCACTCAGCCATCTCTCTAGCCCTAACTGGTTCTCTAAGTCTAGTGCGAACGAAAGTAATGTATATGTGTATTATCTTTCCTAGCTAAAGTCTCAAATGTTAATGGAAGCACTTTTCATTTAACCCTTTCTTAGCAGATTCTTTTTACTTAATATTAGGGTTAGTTTTTGAGAAGAAAGAAAGCTTTTACAATAGTGTTTGGTATTTCTGTGTATCTCTGTTACCACATACTTACTGTGGGATAATAGATTATGAAGGCAGTTTATTTTTAGCTCTAATTGTCCTCTGAAATATATCCAAATACATTTTCTTTTTCAAGACAGGTTTCTCTGTGTAGCCCTGGCTGTCCTGGAACTTGCTCTGTAGACCAGGCTGACCTAGAACTCAGAGATCCACCTGTGTCTACTTCCCAAGTGCTGGGATTAAGGTTATATGTCACCATTGCCTGGCTTAAAATTTTAAATTTAATCCAAAATTTAAAAAATACTTATTAAACAGTACATAGTTCATCATTCTAAAAGTTCAGAGAAGTTACAAAATATACATTCCCTACGGTATCATTTCTTGAAATTTAATTAGCTGTGTAATTTTTCCGTCAGAAATAGTTATGGTATAATTAAACTATTATATTGCACATACCTTAGGGAGACCAGCTGCCATCTTTGACATTCATTTTGTAAGAATTACAGATGATTTCATCATTAGCCCTTAGCCCAGAGTGATGCATGTTTTTCAAGCTCTTATCTGAGCTGAAAATAAGCTGGACACACTATTACAATTGATTCTAAGTGGCCAGAAGGACTTTATGCAGGGAACAGCATTGTTGAGATATAATTTACACATGAAAATAGTTACCCACGGGAAGTGTTCAAATCAGTGATTTTATTCACAGAATTCTGCAGCTATTATTGTGAATAAAGTTTAGGATACATTACTTATTCCGTGTTATTTGCTGCTAACCTTGATTCTGTCTGTTCCTACATATATGTGCTCAAACATATACACAGAGGAATGTGAACATATACATGCACTTGTGTATGCACACACACACACACACGGAGACATCTGTTGATCTTCTTTACCGTTCTACAGGTTTGTCTGTTGTACATTTTATGTAAATGAAGTGATACATATTTAGTCTTTTTATTTCTCACTCCCTTCACTGAGCCCGTTTACAGGTTCATTCCTGTGCGGCACACATCACTGCTCAGTCCTCTTCCTCCGGCTAGTACTTCATTGTATGAACACACTGCATCTGTCTATCCGTTTATCTCTTAGGAAGCCTCTGTATTTTGGCTGTTGTGAATAACTTTGTTTTGAACACATGCAACTTTTTGTGAGCATGTTTGTATCTTTTCCAAAAACCTTATTATTAGTTTTGCTTCATCATAAAAAAAAAATCAACCCAGTGAAATAAGTTATTTACCATTATATAGGCAAAATGTTCACTGGTTACAAGACTACTTGGTTAGTCCATATTTTTTCCTATCTAGAACATCTAAGTTTATTGCTTTATTAATTCTCTCTGTAGATGTATCTCACCATTTCATGGTTCTTGATTTCCTAATGCTGTTACCATTATAATAGTGAGGAGTTTATATTCATAAATCCAAACTTAAATATTTATATTTCCTTAAAGGGAGAGAGGCCTGAAAAGGCATGGTTTTGTGATAAGTACTATACATTAAAAACCTTTCATTAAAGCCAGGGATGGTGGTATACACCTTTAAAAGTCCCAGGACTTGGGAGGATGGAGTAATAGGTCTCTATAAGTTCAAAGCCAGCCTGGTCTACATAGTGAGCTTCAGGACACTCAAGACTATATAGTGACACCCTTACTCAAAAGAAACTAACCAAAGGCCCGTTCATTAAAGGATTAGCTTCTAACCAAGCATTCTTTTAACTAATTGAATTTGTTTGGGAGGACATTATATATGTGGCAGATCTGTTTATGTAAAATGAAGCAGATATGCAGGCGTGTTAGTAAACACTAGTAATCCCAGCACTTAGCAGGCCAAGACAAGAAGATTGACAATTGGAGACCAACCTGGGCTACATAGCAAGACCCTGTCCCAATAACAACAACAACAACAACAACAACAACAACAGAAAAACGAAAAGGAATAGGACAGGCAGAAGACTTTCCATACTGAATGCAGTGCTGAAAAGTGCATGGCCTTAAAAGCTCACACACTCACATTCGTTCACACTGCTTGTGATACTGTGGCTTCTCTGCCCAAGAGCAGCAGTTACGTTTAAAGTTAAATATACACAGCCCTGCTCCCCTAGATAATTAGGAGTTTAAATTGTTGGGGTTGTTTTGCTTTGTTTTGTTTTTTGTTTTAATGTGTATTTTGCTTGGACTGACAGTGGTGGAAAGTTTTCAACACTACTCCAGAATCTTGGACCTGAGAATGCTGTGACACTGCTGGTGTTTGCCGTAACAGAACACAAAATCCTCATCCATTCCCTGCGGCCCTCTGTGCTCACCAGTGTGACAGAAGCATTAGTGTCTGTGAGTACCATTTCTTAGGTACTAAATTCTTAGTAAATTTCTTAGGCAGTCAGTTCAGGCTTAAACTTAATTTATTCATGTAATTGAAAATCATTTTAATACTTAACTACATTTCAGAAAATAATGGATTTATACATTGTTGAAGTAGCTTTAATTTCCTGACTTAATTTGAGTTATTATTTAACTCATTATCAAACATTAAACTACAGGTAGTAATCTAGAATATAATTTTGTGTGTGTGCTGATAACTTATGCTTCAACATAAGAATCCTAATACTCTTCCATCTTTTGTTCATCCAAGATGATCTTCCCTTTCCACTGGCCCTGCCCGTATGTTCCTCTCTGCCCATTGGCTCTCGCAGATGTCCTCAGTGCACCTTGTCCATTCATAGTAGGCATTGATTCAAGATACTTTGATCTTTATGACCCTCCACCAGATGTCAGTTGTGTCGACTTAGATACCAACACCATTTCTCAGTAAGTACACTTGAGAATTTACAGCTAAGTCTCCGTAACGTAATTGTCTCTGTATGTGAATTTGCAGTTTATAATTGCTGGCTAATGTTCTTATATATAGTATTGAGATATATTAATTTTTTTGTATTTGGAGTTCACCATCTCCTGGTCAGCACTTGCTGTGCTTAAGTAGAGTATCTTTAGGATGTTAGAGGTGGCCGTGTTGGAAAGAAAATACACTTTTAATCCTCAGGCTTTAAATATTTCAGAAACATAATCTTATGCTTACTTAAAAAATTAGCACAAAGGAAATAAAGTCAGTTAGAAGTCGGTGTTGGAGAGAAGGGCTCAGTGGTTCAAGTGCTCTTGCAGAGTACATGGATTCAGTACCCAGCACTCACATAGCACTAACAACTGTCCATAGCACCATTTCCAAGGAATCTGATGCCCTCTTCTGGCCACTATGGAGACTGCACATAAAATTGCACACATATAAAATATCTTTTCAGATGATGATTGGGAAGTTAATAAAAAATAATGCCAGGTACCACAACAATTTTTTAAACCTCTTTTTTTTTTTTTGCCAGATGAGTATGGGAGAATCACAGCTGAGTTAGAAATCTATTCCTGTACTAAGAGTCTAATCTTATTTCTAGTATAAGACTATCAGAATACTGGTGCATCATAATAAAATTAGCATTAGAACATTCTAATTTTAAAATAATCTATAAATTTATATATAATTTCCCCTTTTCATATTCTTGGAATGTAGCTTTTAAAAAATATTTCTTTCTTTCTTTGAATCCAATTTTCAGACTAGTTTCCCATCAGCCAGTAAAGAAGGAAGAAATGACTGCAACAATGTGGTGCCCACAGGACCAGGTTAAAACGTCCCCCATTTAGTCCCTCTGAAAATCCCAAAAGCTACTTTAGTTTTTCACTTAATAAGGAATAGGTTTTTCTTTGTTTACTTACTGGTACTGGGGACTGAACCCAGGGCTCATGCAGGCTAAGTATGTGCTCTGTCACTGTGGTGCCCTCCTAGCCCTTCTGTGTTTTAATTAGAGCAGTATACCATAAAGTCTGTCAATTCATTCCAGAAATGTAGACTGACCCTCCACCTTCGCCTTGTACATCACCTTTGCTATGCATCAAGCACCGCAGTTGCTTGAACCGTTAGAAAAAATGGGAGATAAAAGATACTTTGTTTGGAAGTATATGCACAGTCAAAAAGCTTTTATTCATTAACCAATAAAATATGGGACATATTTTATACATGAAGACCATTTTAATATGGAATTACTCAAAGCAAAGATTTTTTTTTCCAATAATTTATTTTCTGTTGTTTACATTACATCCCAATCACAGCCCCCCTTCCCTCCTCTCTTCCCAGTCCTACCTTTATGAATCAATCCCTCTACCATTGTCTTCTCCCCTTTTTCTCAAAGGAAGGGAGCCCCCTTGTGTACCTCCTCACCTTGGGACATCTAGTGCCTGCTGGACTAGGTGAATACTCTCCCACTGAGGCCCAACCAGGCAGTCCAGATAGGGGAAGGGGATCCAGTGGCAGGGAACAGAGACTGAGACAGCCTTCACTCCACTTGTTAAAGAAACCAAAGATTTTTTTTTTATGAGCAACACTGTGTTCTTTGGTAGGAGTGTTTCTTTTGTTGAAATAGTAAACTAGTACTTTGCTTTCTCACTTCACAAATGTTAGATGAGACAGTGATTTTTTAAAGATTTATTTATTTATTTAATGTATCTGAGTACATTATTGCTCTCTTCAGACACATAGGAGGGCGTCAGATTCCATTACAGATGGTTGTGAGTCATCATGTGGTTGCTGGGAATTGAACTCAGGACTTCTGGAAGAGCAGACAGTGGTCTTAACCACTGAGCCATCTCTCAGTGATTTGTAAAGCTGAACTAAGTGCTACCAGTGAGTGCACACTGCTTATTATGATAGGCAAAGTTCTCCCTCTCTCACACCCTCTCAATTTGTTAAAGTAACCTCTTCTTAGCTGGGCATGGTTGCACATACCTTTAATCTCAGCACTCAGAATGCAGAGACAGGCAGATCTCTGTGGTCTATGTAGTGAGTTTGAGGAGAGCCAGGGCTACTTAGTAGACTCTGTCTCTCTGATACCTAATAATATTTGGTACTTTCTTTCTACTTTGATCACTAGTTAATTGAAGAGTCAAAAATGATATGAGTTGTTTTCACTTGGCTCTTTCTTTAATATCAGCCACCCAAGCCTTGGCGAGGGTGGGGGGGGGGGACCCCTACAAGTGAACTAAAGCTCTCTGCTTCCATTCATCCAGAGTTCCGAAACGCCAACCTGAAATTTGAAAGAAAAACAAATTCCCAGTATAGGACTTTTAGTTTTCTTTTCCTACCCCAGATACATACAATACAGATTAAGTTCTGAATTCCAAGAAATTTCTGAAGAGGGGGGAAATGAATTAATATTTATAAAATATAATGTGCATAAAGTCACATGTATAGCCTAGTAACCCCACGTTAGTCTGTGTCCTTTATGAGAATTTCACAATTCCTCTTGACACATAAGAAAGTGCAGGCTTATTTATATTTTGTAAGCAGTTAAAGGACACATAGTTTACTCTGCCGGCACTTGGTTTCTAAACTGTTAATCTCCCACTGTGACACTAAGACTTCTACCACCTATGATGAGGTAGCTGTAACAGATAGTAATCTTGTAAATGGAGGTATCATGAGCAAAAATGTGGAAGGCTGTCGGAGATTAAAAACTCTGTAGAAAGCAAGGTAAAGCTCCCCTACCTGACCACATTTCACAGAAACAGTATCCAGGGCAAGAGGAAGAAATTACCTGAGTAAATAACAATGTGATACTTTTGTATCCATTTATGCCAAAAAACATATCCTGAATATCTACTTCTATAGAGTGAATGGTAACAAAAATGCAAACCAAATCAATGTTCTTCTTTCTCTGAGTTCCTCCAACTCTAATCTAAGACAGGTGTGGGTAGAGGGCATACTATTTGGAAATGTTTTATCAAGATAGTGATGTAAAAAGTTTCTACATTGTAGTCTCCCTGTACCATGCTCTTAGTCGCCTTATAAATGTAAAAACTATTAATTCTTTCACAGTAGAACGTCTGCAGTTTCATCCTGCTCTGCCTTTATTTTTATTTTCATTCGTTAGAAAAGAGGATAAATTATAAGATTATTAATTTATATAAGATTAAGCTTTTTTCTACTATTTTTGCTTATTTTTCAAACTGGTATTTATTTGTTCTGTAAGAAATTTGTGGGGGGGACATTTAGAGATAAAACCCTAGCTTGGCCAGTTCTACTACCCACTTGTACTGAGTTGTTCTTTGTGTACAGAACATAATGAGTTTGCTTGCCTTCTCTTTTTCTCTTTATTTTTCAACAGTCAATGTGAGTATTTATTACTTTTTAAATGAAAAAATACTGAATAAATAAAAAGTAGGCTAAAGAAAAACTATAGTTAAGTTCAAAAGCTTTATGGTGTATTATATCTCCTGTGTTATAATGATTATAATAAAGGAGATTATAGGCTCCTTCTACAGACAGAGATATCAGTTTATAAGCAGATAACCTCTTTTAAAGTTATAAAATGTTTTGTAATATTATACTTTGCTCAAGGAATTTAATATTTTAGAAGCAAAACCCAGAATAATTTTTATTTACGCTTTGGAAACCAAGAAACTAAGCATATAGCAGCGTATTTTAATAAGGTCTGTAGTTTCTAGGTTCATTGAAAATTCAGTAATACCTTTTCTTCTCTTAGGAAAAACTGCTACAGTTAGATTTTCCTGTTGTTTAGGTGTCTAAGCCTTCTCTCAGGAAAGCAAAGTGTGACAGACGCTGCACAGACATAACAGTAAATGCTGAGGTGTATGTAGGAGAGGATTACACCTTCACACAGATTAATTTTATATCATCAGTATCCCAACCTGCCTCTGTCAGATTTTCTTCATTAACCTGACTATTCTGAATGTGTTGCATTTTTTTTGTTTGATGGCTGTTTCCCCTTCATGTATAAATGCAGCAGGAATATACTCCCTCCAAAAGTCCATGTAACAAATGTATTGTTGTTGTTTTTTAATCTCAGAACTGGTGACAAAAAGAATGTAGCCTGGAAGATTCTTCCGAAGAAGCCATGTAAAAATCTGATGAATACGCTGAATAATTTGCACCAGCAGTTGGCAAAATGTAAGTGGATAACTTAACTTATATAATGTATTCTGAGAAAATGACCGACTTTGTCTGAAGTGTTTTTTCTTTTTTAGCTAAGGAGATATAAGTAATAAGGAAAATAGAGAATGTTTACATGTCACCCTGGAGCAGGGCGCATCTGCTCTGAATAAATGCTAGTTTGTGTAACTGTGCTGCTAAAGGGAGTATGATACTGGAACTGATACTTATTTTGTTTTAAAGAAAGTAGTGGGGCTGGAGAGATGGCTCAGTGGTTAAGAGCACTGACTGCACTTCCAGAGGTCCTGAGTTCAATTCCCAGCAACCAGATGGTGGCTCACAACTGTCTGTAATGGGATCTGATACCCTCTTCTGGTGTGTCTGAAGACAGCAACAGTGTACTCACATAAAATAAATAAATCTTTTTTTTTTTAAAGTGGTAACTGGATATTATAACTCACACATGTAATCACAGCAGTTGGGAAACTGAGGCAGGATAATCACCAAAATTTCAAGCCAGCCTTGAAACTACGTAGTAAGTCCCAGGCCAGCTAAGCTACTGCTTTTTATAGTAAGACCCTATAAAAAATAAAAAATGAAAATAAAAAAGGCTATTTTAGTCTGGCATGGTTCACAGAAGCTATAACCCCAGCAGCACTCTGAGGCAGAGGCAACTAGGTTGTTGCAAGATCAAGACCAGCCTTTGTACACAAGTTCTAGGCTCGTCAGGACTACAGAGCAATACCCTATCTTTAAAAAGTTCAGTTGATTCAGATTAAAAAAAAAAAAAGGAAGTGTTTACGGCTAGGCCTGGTGGAGGACAACTTTCATCCCAGCGCTTGGAGTCAGGGGCAGATCCCTGAGTTCCAGGCCAGCCTGGTTTACATAGTGAGCTCCAGCCAGAGCTACAGAGTGAGACTGTCTCAGAAAATAAAAATGGATAGAAGGGAGGGAGGGAAGGAAGGAAGAGGGAGGGTAGGAAGGAGGGACAGAGGGAAGGAGGGGAGGAAGGGAGGGAAAGGAAAGTGTTTACAATCTTTAAAGCAAATGTTTATTTATTTAATGTTTATTAAAGCAGAATATGTTAGAAGCCAAATGAGTAATTTATAAATAAGTATTTTAGAGCTTACAGATTTTTATAAGACTGCCTTAAGATAAAATTCATAAGGGCACTAAAAAGGTCATTTCCTTAAATTTTGCCATTACTAAATAACATGAAGAAATAAGGATTGCCACTAGTGTATTTTCTTCATATATAAAACAGAAAGCTTTAGACATCTAAGATAAATGCTTTAAAGCACATTAGAAAATGCTGTTGTCAGTGAAAGGAGAGTCAGGACCTAACCTCTCCACTAATGCCTGTCTTGGAACCATCTGCCATTTGCTAAAACCAAAGTGAAAATTGATTTTAGGATATGAAGTATTTTAGGAAAAAAGCTTATGTAAAGAATATATCTTGATAGTGATCCAGAATTTCTGATAAAAAATTAAGCTTCTATTTCTTTAATTCTGTCAGTATTGTAACAATGGTCCATTCAGTGTCTTATTTTTTTATTTAATGATAAAAAAGTTTAATATTTATTTTATTTTATGAAATATGGCCAATGGTGATGTGGCAATATATACAGTTGTCACGTATTTATTAGGAAATGTGGACATAGGAAATAGCCCACACCTGTGAAAGTTCAAGATACTAAGAATATAGCTTGAAATAGAATGTAAAACACAGTGTTAGTAAAGTTTAGAAGCAACTAGCCAATTCCATAGTAGCTCAAAAGTATTGGGGAAAAATATATATATATTAATGACATTAAACAGCAAGCTTTAATTTTGTAGATTAGGTCAGTTGTTTACATGTTTTTGTTCCCTAGTTTGCTTTCTAGAACTGCTTATTCCTGTGGAGAGCTGCAGAGTCCAGCAGCTATTGTAGCCAGTATAAATAACTCAGTTGAGTAGTCTGTCCAACTCTAGTGAAGGACAGAATGCAGAAGATACAGCCATGGATACCAAGGACAAGATTTCTGCTTTTTAAAAAAGTGTGTGTGTGTGTGTGTGTGTGTGTGTGTGTGTGTGGTGTATATGACATATCTGTGTGTGCTCTGGCCCTGGGTGTGGAGGTTAGAGGACAGCTCTCAGTAATTAGCCCCTACTTTCCACCCTGTTGGAGGTGGGGTCTGTATTTGTTTGCTGCTACCCTTGGATACTCCAGGCTGACTGGGCCACGAGATTCTGGATGATTCTTCTTTTCTGCCTTCCATTGTAGGAGCACTTCTTTTCTGCCTTCCATTGTAGGAGCACTGCAATTACTAATGCAGGCTACTACATCTGGCTTTCTAGGTGTGTTCTAGAAATCCAAACTCGGGTTATCAGATTTGCATTCCAAGGCCTTTCACCCACTGAGCCTCCTCCATAGTGTCATGAACTACTCTTAAAGATTAAAGCTACAGATGTTTAAGGAACACTGGTAGTTTAGATAATTAACGATTCCTTATGTCTTAAAAGGTCTTTACGTTTTGAAGAATTTAGAGCTTCTATCCTGACCCTTTGAGAGTAGGTGTCCTATTGTACGTAAATGGATTGTATTTCTTACCAACAGGGCCTTCTTTGACATCACTACAACAAAGTTGTGGAACTCAGGGAATTAACCTTGAGCACCCTAATCTGCAAACCACAGTCAAGGGTTACTGTTTGGTTTTTCTTTTCTTCAGTGTGGATATAAGTGTACTCACCTGGTCACATGTGGAGGTCTTGCTCTATTGTTGCCCACCTGACTTTTGAGATAAGGTCTCTCAGTGAACCTGGAGCCTGGCTAGCCACTGAAACCCTGAGATCTCCCTGTATCTTTCTCTTTTCCTTTAGCCCTGGAGTTGCAGATGCATGTGACTATGCCAGGCTTTTATGTGGGCCTGGGATCTAAATACACACCTTCATGTGTGCACAATAAACACTCCACCTGCCAAGCCTTTCTCATCCCCAGTTTGCCTGTTTTGTAAATAAATTTCTTTATAGTAAGAGGTTCTGGTTCCAAATCAGAGGCGGGCAGTTTCAAGTCTTTTCTATCTCCTCTAAAACAGTTTTTTTTTTAAGATTTATTTATAGTATGTATATGAGTACACTGTCACTGATTTCAGACACACCAGAAGAGGGCATCAGATCCCATTACAGGTAGTTGTGAGCCACCATGTGGTTGCTGGGAATTGAACTCAGGACCTTTAGAAGAGTCGTCAGTGCTCTTAACCACTGAGCCATCTCTCCTGCCCCAGTTTCTTTCTTTCTTTTTTAAAATTATTTTCATAATACTGCTCTTTCAGAGGACCCAGATTTGACTCCCAGTATCCATATGGTGGCTGACAGTCAATCATCTGTAATCCCAGTTCTGGGAGATCCAACAGACCTGGTGCACATACGGGCATGTGGGAAAAGAAACACATAGTAAAATAAATAAATCTTTGTAAAAAGTATACTTACGCTGCCAAATGGTCCCTGGTGTGATTGATTGATTGATTGATTTTTGGTCTAGGAGTCCTCTTGTAAACTCAAGCCATGTGTCATCGGCTAGAGTGCCTCAGTGGTGATGCTTCCCCCTCCACCTTTCAGCAGTGTGCGTGCTCCTGCTGTGGAGGGTAGCTCCCACTGATGGCTTCTGGGTTTCTCAGTCTACCTTACTGGAAGGAACAGAAGTGACGCTGCCAGGCTTCTCTAGTGTAAACTACTCCTTACCACCTAGTGGCTCTATCATTGAGTTGTCCAGGAAGGGGCTTTTTGTTTTTTAGTCCTCCTGTTTTTAGCCCGCAGGCACTTGGATTTTATGAAGAGACAAGTCAAAATGATTGTGTAGTCTATGTTTCCAGTGCCGTGGTTGTTAGGAACTTTCTTTACTAGCGTGTGTATACACGTACACACAAGTACTTACGTAGTTATGATAGAGCATGAACTTCCTCTAACAATAGATTTACGGGAATAACTTTAAGTGTAAGTTAGATAAAATATGCTCAACAGAACCCGAAAGTGATAGAGAAGCTTTTCTTGAGGTTTGTGTACTATGAAGTGATGTAAATGGAAGAGTTGTGGTTACGTGAACAGTTTTGAAGAAAGTTTTGCATTAAATCTAGCATGAGCCTTATTTCTCATAGGCAAAATTTCAAACCTTGTATTTCTTCACAGTGCAGCAGAGACCCAGAGATGATGGACTAATGGACTTAGCAATGAATGATTACGATTTTAATTCCGGGAAGAGGCTGCACATGATAGATCTGGAAATCCAGGAGGCATTCTTGTTTTTCATGGCCTCTATTTTAAAAGGTTATAGGTCATACTTACGGCCAATAACACAAGCCCCGTCTGAGACAGCAACAGATGCAACCTCCCTTTTTGCCCTTCAAGGTGAGTGATCATGTAATGCTATAGCCTTCATGTTGCTAAGCTTAAACTTGAAACAGATCATTTGTTCTCTGAATTAATAGTTCATATTTAGCAAAGCACACACCTGCTCTGAGGGCCATGGGAGTGGCAGCTCTGTAGGGCAGGTTCATTAACTGGGATCCTAAGAACAGTTCTGTCTGAGAACTACAGGACCTCTTGAGCACATTTACTTTCACTTTGTGGAGACACATTTGTGTTGAGGTATCGACAGTCTCTGTTTTCAGGGCTGCCAGGAACACCTGGGATGGTCACCTCCAGGCTTGAACAGCCTGGTTTGTTTTATTTCAGACTGCTTTAAAAATACTATTTTCTGTCTATAATACAAGGGGAAAAAGGAAGTTGGGAAGCCCACAGTACAATTAATTGGTATCATGCTATATATTTACTTTCTCTTGTATTTAATATTTGAAAAAGAAATCGATCTAGTAAGTATGTGCTCGGTGCCATGTAATGTTGAACATTTGGACTGTATAAGTAAGCAAAAGAAGCCCTTCTTTTATAGAGCATGTAGTCAAGAAGACAAGCACTTAGAAGGTAATAGAGTGAGCAGATTCAGTTACAACCTCAAATAGAGTATTGCAGAGTGAGAGAGAACAAGGGCAGAGAAAGCATGCACACAGCACTCACATGCTGTGCACAGGCAGCATTGCAGAGACTGAGATACACTGGTTTAATTATCAGGGCAGTGACATGACTCTGGGTGGAAGCTTGTACTGTCTGTGTCCCTTTTCTGTTGCTTTTCCTAGTTCTTCCCCATTTATCAAAGAGCTTAAGTTTTGATTTGTTTTGTTTTTCAGTAAAATAGTGAACAAAATGAGAATATAAATGATATTGTTGATCAAGTTTCTTTTAGCAAAAAATATTCTGAATCTATTCTCACATTATCTGTTTATACTGAATAGCTTTCTTAAGAAGCCGGGACCGATCACATCAAAAGTTCTATAACATGATGACCAAAACACAGATGTTTATTCGCTTCATTGAGGAATGTTCTTTTGTCAGCGATAAAGACGCAAGCCTGGCCTTTTTTGATGACTGTGTGGATAAAGTAAGTAGTCGCAGTAATCTGCAGTGCCCTGGCTTGTTTTATGTGACTGCTATACATGTTATGTTACTGCTTCTATGTATAGCTTGTAACAAAAATCTAAAATAATTTTATTTTCACACTTGACCACTTACAATGAGAGTTTGGGCAGCCTCCTAGAGATTACAGCACATACTTTTATTAAATTTTGCTTTATTGTTATTAGTAGCGTAAGTGTGTGTGTGTGCATCTGCGCACATGTGGGCACGCAGAGACCAGTCTGACAGTCTGGGAGTCAGTCAGTCCCAGAGATGGAGTAAGGGTGTTAAGCCTGTGTGGCAAACACTTTTATCTGCTAAGTCATCTTTCTTAAAGCACACTTCTTCTTTAAAAGTTGTTTTAAAAATCATATGCTTAATTATATACCTATGTATATGAGAATGTGGGAGGCCAGAAGAGGGCGTGGGATGCCCTGGAACTGGAACTACAGACAGCTGTTTGCTACCTGCCGTAGATGCTGGGAACCAAACTCAGGTCCTCTGCGAACACAGTAAGTGCCGCTAACCCTGAGCTGTCTCTGCATCCCCAAAAGCATACTTCTTAAAGGTGTTTTGTAAGAATTATCTTACAAAGATTATCTTAACAAGGTTAAGGTTAGGTTCCTAACCCTATCTTTGCACTTAGAGAGTGGGACATTTTCCCAAGCACATGAACCTCTAACATTCTGAGATATCCTATGCTTAGAATCGAGGGCATAGCATAATCGATGTCCTATAACTATTTTTACATTGAGAGTGAATTTATACCTCATATTAATTCTATTTTTAATTCATACATGAAATGATTTATTTTCTGCTCAGTCCTTTCACTATTAGGTGAGATGGGGCTAGGTTCATGCTGGAAACAAAGGAAGCAGGAAACAGTGGCCCCGAACACACTGTCTAAGCTTGAGTGTGGTTAAGAAAGTTGAGTTGCCTAGAGGAGACAGAGCCACAGCCATGAGCAGAGAGCTTCCATTCAGAGATCTAGCTTGACACGGGACTCAGGACAAGAAGGGAAGAAGCTCCTTCCTGGGGCAGACAGCTATCCTCAGGATATCAGAACTTACCCAGGATGAGAAGAGTATGATGGTGAGGGTCGTGTGGGGCTCAGGAGCCTGTGCAGGGTCAACAGAGTGGGGGCTGGGCATAGCAAATGCGATGTTAGACGTTGACTTGGATGAAGGAGATGCCAGCACGGTAGGCATGAAATGCAGTGTGTATAGGCTTGTTGGATTAGAGTGAAGAGGTCATTGCGTGGGAGCAGATCACCAAAGAGGGGAGGAGGTTATGTAAATGTAGGGAAGACGTTCAAATACGTAAATGTCTTCTAAGTGGCACAGATTACCGTGGTCAGGAAAGGGATCTACACATACAGACTTAGAAGCAGAATAAGCCGAGAGACGGAGGGAGGGGGCTTTGGAAACAGGCTATTTGTTTTCCATGATAGGCAGAGATAGAAACAACTATAGGAATAAGTACACATATCTGTGTACATATACATATATTCTGTGACTTCGTATATTGAGAGAACCTAGGAGCAGCCACACCTTAAGACCAAAGAGGCATAGACTTTGGCTTCTAAATAGCAAAAGGAATCAAGTCTCTTTGGAGAAATGATAGGTTACAGATTGGACAATGAAACATCATAGATAAACTCTAAAATACCCTGTATTAGGGAGAAAAGGACTACTCCAAGGATGATAGAGGCATGTGACACATGCACAGAACCTATTTGAAGGGGTCCCGCTATCAGATCTGAGTCAATTCAAGCATCAAATGTTAGTAACAAATTAATCTGATGAATAAATGGGAAATCATGAGTCTGTGCAGATATCAATTGATAATTCAAAGTCTGACAATAAGCAAGATAGTTGGCTGTACCTCCCTACAAAATAAATATGAATTAAACTGTAGCGGGAAAGTCTGACAGACTCCACATTAAAATTAAGTTGTCAAAGTGGACGTCATCAATAATAGAACAGAATATCATGTCCCTAAAAGATGATATCTTTGTTTCTTTTCCCGTTGCTAGGATAAATACTCTGACAAAAGCTACTTAAGGGATGAAGGGGTATTTTAGCTCATATTATCATGTCAGGGAAGTCAAGGCATCAGGCGCCTGAGACAGCTGCTCCATAGTCAGAAGACAAAAGCAATGAGTGCATGCATGCATTTTCAGCTTGCTTTTCCTCACACAGTCCAGGGTCCTCTGTCTAAGGAATGGTGCTACCCATAGTGGTATGAACCTTCCCACCTTAATTAATCAAGACAATCACCCACAGATATACCTACAGTCTATCTTTCAGATGATTCTAGATCCTGTTAAGTTGAAAGTTGATACTAACCCTCACAATTCCATCCTCTGACAATTTGTGAGCCACCCATTTGGGCTGTGGGAATTGAACTCTAGTCTCCAGTCCTCTGCAAAAGCAGATGAGCCATCTCTCCCTCGCCATTTTCAACATTTTAATCAATATTTTAAGCATGCCTTATGGAATAAAAATATTGACAGAAATGGAAAAGCATATCTGTAAGTTTTTCTCTAGAGCCTTTTTACAAAAATAAAGAGCCCTTCTCTTCCCCCTCTCTCCACGTGGTCATGGCCGGCCTCTACTCCTCTCTACTTCTCTCTCTCTCTCCTCTTGCTCTCCCACTCTCTTAATAAACCTCCCCTCGTGGAACCATCTTGGCCTGCTGTGATCTGTCCCAAGCTGCGCCGTGGAAATCCTTTCATTGTGTTCATAAGAGAGAGAAAGAGAGAGAGAAAAAAGAGAGAGAGAGAGAGAGAGAGAGAGAGGGAGGGGGAGGGGGAGGGGGAGAGGGAGAGGGAGAGAGAGAGAGAACGAACACACCAGGTCTCCACTGGTCATATGTATGTACATCCCTTATGAACAATGACATGCATTTGTATAATGTTATTTCCATACCAGGCTAACTGGTCCTATGAGACCAAATTAGTGGCCAGGACTTAGCTAGTGACACGCAGCAATGACTTAGCTCATTAGCCCACTTGGGAGCACTGAGCTAGGTGGCAAGACTCTAGTTAAGTTTTAAAAGGAGAATTTTTATAGCGTTTCTTCTTGGTGCAGTCACTGTATTTTATTCACAAGTCTGTGTTTTAGTTAAACAAAAACCCAAGTCACATAGTCTAATGAGATACTTATTAATATTGTAGGTTGAACAAGACTTGTAATTTTACTTCATCTCTAGGACATCTTGTCCTAAGGAGATCTCCTCGTAGGTAATACTTTAGATTGTCTAGGGATTTCAGTAGGTTACTTGATATCTATGTGATGGGAGTCAATGTAGTGGATGATTTGAACAATTTCTTTTAAAATACAAATTTCAGGGGCCTTGAGAGATGGCTCAGTGGTTAAGAGCACTTGTTTCTCTTGCAAAGGACCTGAGTTCGATTCTAACATCGTTCCTTTTTGTAACCTATTTGTAGCAATGAGTTTTTAGCTACACTGATTTGTGTTCCAGGTGGATCTCATGCTTCCAGCCACCCACCCACCCAGGAATTCTTTTGGTTTAAGAATGGAAGATACACACATACACACACACACACACACACACACACACACACACGCCACATGTACCAGTTAATTTTAAAATGCCTTGGCCACTCCTAAAACTTCCCTTGCAACCCCAGGCCTAATCAGGGAAGTGGCCAGTGGCCACTGTCTTAGTCAGGGTTTCTATTCTTGCACAAACATCGTGACCAAGAAGCAAACTGGGGAGGAAAGGGTTTATTCAGCTTACCCGTTCACATTGCTGTTCATCACCAGAGGAAGTCAGGGCTGGAACTCAACCAAGTCAGGAAACAGGAGCTGATGCAGAGGCCATGGAGGGGTGTTACTTACTGACTTGCTTCCCCTAGGTTGCTCAACTTGCTTTCTTATTGAACCCAAGACTACCAGCCCAGGGATGGCACCACCCACAATGGGCTGGGTCTTGATCATAGTTGAGAAAATGCCTTTCAGCTAGGTCTCATGGAGGCGTTTCCTCAGCTGAGGCTCCTTTCTCTGTGATGACTCCAGCTTGTGTCAGGTTGACACACAAAACCAGCCAGTACAGCCACCCGCTTGAATTCTTACTCGGCTCATTGGCTTTATCTCCTGTAGCTCCAAATCTGATCCGTCTCCTACTGCATCATGGAGATCCTCTGACTATTCCTCTCTCCCAAGTCCTAGCCTTGCAAATCTAAGGGTCCCACCCATCTCCCTTTGCTCAACCATTGGCAGCTGGCATCTTTATTGATCAATCAAAAACCAATTGGGGACAAGGACCTTCAGCATCTGGACATGTAGATTCCCAATTAAATCAAAGTGTTAGACCCAATCCCCAACACCTATTTAAGAAGTCTAGATCGTATGAAAGATTTCTAATATACACACATTGAACTACTTGAAGATTTTACTGACTAAGCAGAAAATCAAAGCTAAGAAATATGATGCAGGTATAGATTAGTAACAAAGCTTAGCAAAAACAAAATAATGAAATCCTGAGAATTAGTATAATAAACCACACTTATTTGTATTTGTTTTGTTATAATTCAAGGGATACTTTACTGGAGAAAAAATATCATAAGACCTAGTGTGTATTTTAACAAGCTCCATGTGTAAAGCTGGATCAGAGGCTAGTTGTCTCTGGAGTTACAAAACAGAACTCCTGAAATACAAGTGCAGTGTGACTGCCTTTCGTGGTCCTGTACCCCTATAAAAACACTGAACATAAAAACTCAATACATAATTTTAATCTGCAGGCATTTTCAGAATGTCTTATAACACTTTGGGAATACTCATTTATGTGTAGGCTGTTCCTTAGTTGAGTAAGTTTGAGCTCATTTTTTTTTTAAGTGAACAAATCCTCTTACCTCTGAAAGCCTAACAATGAAAAATAAATGAATAAATTAGATACGTCTTACTTCCCTCCACCAACCAATGCCTGTGCTTGAACATAAATTAGACATATTCCTCTTTT